GGGATTTCACTCGGGCCCCCTCAGCCCACAGGAATGCTGGAGGACCTCTGACTCCCTCATCACTTTTACCTGCAGTTTGTCTCTGTCTCAATTATTTCTCCATCTATATTATTTCTCTATTACTATTATTTCCAAATCTATTTCGATGATCCTGCCTTGGGAACTGTTTTGCTTGGAGAGTGGCTACCTATCGGCATAAAATTATATGTAGAAGAGCTTTTCCAATATTTCCTTCTATACATCTTCTGCTCGCCACTCACAAAAAATAATTCATGGCAGATAACAGACTTAAATCACTCCATAATTGACCTCCCACAGCCAGTACGACAGAGAATCTCACACAGGACTGTTCCCCAGTCCCCTGTGAGAGGACCTGGTGCAGTGACTGGATGGAAGCCTGCGTGGGAGGTGGGCCCTGCCTGTGTGCACCACTGAGAGTGTCCATGATTACACCTCTGCTCAGACTTGGCAACCTGTAGAACATTCTTGTTTAATCTTAAGTGGTGACGTGACATTTGGGAGCGTGTTACCAGGTAATAAAAATCACCGTCATGATTCCTTCTCCCTGCAGGCAGCACCTGTAATCAGCATGTGGATTATTTATGAATGTGTCATCTGGCCTTGGCGAGAAGACTTGTGCATTGCATCTCAGCATCTTTAGAGTGCTCTCCCTGTGGAATTCCACTGACAGTCACGTGCATGGAATTAGCCAGTGGACAACAATCATCCTCTGCAGCCAGTGACTCCAGCGCTGCCCAGATGGTCCATGAATTAAGTGGCCACAGTGGCGTGGCTGGATGACACGCATCACCCAACTTCATGTACTTTCACCCACCAAGGCAGACTGAGGTCCTCCCTCTGCCTAATCTGAAGTCTGTGAGCAAAAGGGACCATCAGTGACCTCAACAGGGCTCCTTAACTGAGTCAAGGAGTCATGTTATGCCAAATTCACTGAGACATTTGACTCTGGGAGGTACAGAAACTCACTTTGACTGGATCCAGCACATGTGTGTCTTTCCAAACACAGGGCCTCACTCAGGACCACTAGCCATGTTATTACCGTGCATGCAATTCAATTAATGGTGTCAGCCTGACATTTCCTGGGGCCAAGGGCTCCATCTCCCAGTAAAAGACACTCCGCATGGGATTCACTGGCAGGTGCTGGCCTGACTAAGAGGTTCACCTGCGTCAGTAATTTGGTATGGCAGGTATATGGCCAACACGTCCAGTGCAATGGGGCTTCCTGCATGAGTGTGCACAGTTCCCTGTACTGTGGGGAAGGGATGAAATCTAGCAGGATCCAGATGTTACCTGAGTCTGTGGACATTTCATGGGAATGAACAGGAGCAGGAGTAGGAATAGCACCAGCCCCTCACTTTACCTGGCATCACTCCCAGTGGCCCTCTCAGGAACATGTAGTGCTGCCCAACACATTTAAGCTTCTCATGCAAAAGATTAGAAGGGCAGGAAACAACCACTGTCTTTGCAAGGGCAGTGACTATAGGATTAGGTGTGGCTATGTTTACACAGTGAGTAAGGGAGGAATATATTTGGATTCCAGTAATTCCACTGCAGTATTCTTTGGAACTCCCAGGTCTTGACAATATGTACACAGATGCAACTTAAATGCATAATTGACTCAATGATAATTAAACACATTAGGATATGACTTCAGCCGTTGCAATACGCGAGTATGTGTCGGAATCCCCAGCACGCTCAGTTCAATGACTATGCACCAGGCTATCAGAGACAAAACCACCATGGCCCCTACTTCTGTCTGTCGCCACCTCATTCTCAAATGATCAGGAGCTTCAATCATCTGTCATTTCAAAAAAGATTCCAAATTTTATTTCAAAATAGATGTCACTTCTGCATGTCTACATGAGCTTTTCCTCACCTGGCCCACATCAACTTCATAGCACATCAAGCCACTATCGTGGGATTCTGGGGAAGCAGAGACATGACATCACCCCATGGCATTTGCTCCCACACACAAATGCCGCCCTCCCATAGCCTGGAGATGCTGGGACATGTGTGCAGCGGGGGAGAGTCCGTGGGTGGATGCTCTCATCTTCCCCACATAGGTGAGTATGACGGTCTGAGGATGAAATATGCACCTGGAGGAAGAGACCAGCAGTTGCAGGTCTTGTAAGGTGGATTTAGTGTAAACACTGATACTGGTGCCCTCCCCCTAATACGCTGACCATCTGATCTGAAGAAAAAGAACTGAAATATTCACACCATCCTCTCTGTCACTGAACATTGAAGATGCCCAGAATCCATGAGAGAGCAGCTGGAGCTGCTGGAAAGGTCTGTACGTTTCCACAGCAGGGACCAGTTTGCATGTGATCTGCATGTAGACATGGATGGAAAGACATACAGAATATAAAATGTGTGGCCTGCGAGTGTTTCCTCCCATTCT